TTAATACCTATTCTCCTGAAACTGTTCCAAAAAATAGAAATGGAAGGAAAACTTCCAAACTCGTTTTATGAGGCCACCATTACCTTGATTCCAAAACCAGACAAAGACCTCATCAAAAAGAATTACAGACCAATATCCCTGATGAACATGGATGCAAAAATTCTCACCAAGATACTAGCCAATAGGATCCAACAGTACATTAAAAGGATTATTCACCACGACCAAGTGGGGTTTATCCCTGGGCTGCAAGGTTGGTTCAACATCTGCAAATCAATCAATGTGATACAATACATTAATAAAAGAAAGAACAAGAATCACATATCCTCTCAATAGATCCAGAAAAAGCATTTGACAAAGTACAGCATCCTTTCTTGACCAAAACTCTTCAGAGTATAGGGATAGAGGGTACATACCTCAATACCATAAAAGCCATCTATGAAAAACCCACAGCAAATATCATTCTCAATGGGGAAAAACTGAGAGCTTTCCCCCTAAGGTCATGAACACGACAGGGATGTCTACTATCACCACTGCTATTCAACATGGTATAGAAGTCCTAGCCACAGCAATCAGACAACAAAAAGAAATCAAAGGCATCCAAATCGGCAAAAAAGAAGTCAAACTCTCACTCTTTGTAGATGATATGATACTTTATGTGGAAAACCCAAAAGACTCCACCCCAAAACTGCTAGAACTCAGACAGGAATTCAGTAAAGTGGCAGGATATAAAATCAATGCACAGATATCAGTGGCATTCCTATACACCAACAACAAGACAGAAGAGAGAGAAATTAAGGAGTCAATCCCATTTACAATTGCATCCAAAACCATAAGATACCTAGGAATAAATCTAACCAAAGAGACAAAGAATCTGTACTCAGAAAACTATAAAATACTCATGAAAGAAATTGAGGAGGACAGAAAGAAATGGAAAAACATTCCATGCTCATGGATTGGAAGAACAAATATTGTGAAGATGTCAATGCTACCTAGAGCAATCTACACATTTAAAGCAATCTCTATCAAAATACTATCAACTTTTTTCAAAGAAATGGAACAAATAATCCTACAATTTGTATGGAACCAGAAAAGAGCCCAAATAGCCAGAGGAATCTTGAAAAAGAAAAGCAAAGCTGGTGGCATCACAATTTCGGACTTCAAGCTCTATTAGAAAGCTATAATCATCAAGACAGTATGGTACTGGCACAAAAACAGACACATAGATCAATGGTACAGAATAGAGAGCCCAGAAATGGACCCTCAACTCTATGGTCATCTAATCTTTGACAAAGCAGGAAAGAATGTCCAATGGAAAAAAGACAGTCTCTTCAACAAATGGTGTTGGGAAAATTGGACAGCCACCTGCAGAAGAATGAAACTGGACCATTTCCTTACACCACACACAAAAATAGACTCCAAATGATTGAAAGACCTAAATGTGAGACAGGAGTCCATCAAAACCCTAAAGGAGAACACAGGCAGCAGCCTCTTCAACCTCAGCTGCAGCAAATTCTTCCTAGAAACATCACCAAAGGCAAGGGAAGCAAGGGCAAAAATGAACTATTGGGATTTCATCAAGATAAAAAGCTTTTGCATAGCAAAGGAAACAGTCAACAAAACCAAAAAAACAACCAATAGGATGGGAGAAGATATTTGCAAATGACTTATCAGTAAAGGCCTAGTATCCAAAATCTACAAAGAACTTATCCAACTCAACACCCAAAGAACAAATGATCCAATCAAGAAATGGGCAGAAGGCATGAACAGACATTTCTGCAAAGAAGACATCCAAATGGCCAAAAGACACGTGAAAAAGTGCTCAACATCGCTCGGCATCAGGGAAATCCAAATCAAAACCTCAATGAGATACCAGCTCACACCAGTCAGAATGGCTAAAATTAACAAGTCAGGAAACGACAGATGTTGGCGGGGATGTGGAGAAAGGGGAACCCTCCTACACTGTTGGTGGGAATGCAAGCTGGTGCAGCCACTCTGGAAAACAGTATGGAGGTTCCTCAAAAAGTTGAAAACAGAGCTACCGTATGACCCAGCAATTGCACTACTGGGTATTTACCCCAAAGATACAAATGTAGTGATCCAAAGGAGTACGTGCACCCCAATGTTTATAGCAGCAATGTCCACAATAGCCAAACTATGGAAAGAGCCAAGATATCCATCGACAGATGAATGGATAAAGAAGATGTGGTATATACATATATACACGATGAATATTATGCAGCCATCAGAAAAATGAAATCTTGCCATTTGCAACAACATGGATGGAATTGGAGGGTATTTATGTTGAGCAAAATAAGTCAATCAGAGAAAGGCATGTATCATATGATCTCACTGATATGAGGAATTCTTAATCTCAGGAAACAAACTGAGGGTTGCTGGAGTGGTGGGGTGTGGGAGGGATTGGGTGGCTGGGTGATAGACATTGGGGAGGGTATGTGCTATAGTGAGCACTGTGAATTGTGTAAGACTGTTGAATCACAGACCCATAACTCTGAAACAAATAATACATTACACATTAAAAAAAAAAGAAGAAGATAGTAGGAAGCAAAAAATGAAGGGGGGGAAATTGGAGGGAGAGATGAACCATGAGAGACTATGGACTCTGAGAAACAAACTGAGGGTTCTAGAGGGGAGGGAGGTGGGGGGGTGGGTTAGCCTGGGATGAGTATTAAAGAGGGCACGTATTGAATGGAGCACAGGGTGTTATACACAAATAATGAATCATGGAACACTACATCAAAAACTAATGATGTATGGTGATTAACAAAAAGTTGCTCAACCCCATTAGCCATTAGAGAAATGCAAAACAAAACCATAATAAGGTACCCTTTACACCCATTAAGGTGGCCATCGTTAAAAAGGTAGACAAGGGTAGACCAAATGTGCCAAGGATGGACAGAAACTGGAACCTTCATACTTTCTGGTGGGAATGTAAAATTGTATCACTATTGTAGAGAAAAGTTTGGCAGTTACTTAATAAATTAAACACACTATATCTTAGCAACATAGCAAGTTACAATGCAAAGCATTGTACAAACATAGCAAAGTTACTTCACAATTCCACCTCTGAATACACACCCAAAAGAAATGAAAACAAGTATTCTAACAAAAATTTGTGCATGAATGTGGATAGTAGCACTATTTGCAATAGCCAAGAGTTGGAAACAACCCAAATGTCTATCAAGTGATGGAAGGATAAACAAAATGCAATATGTCCATATAATGGAGTATTAATTGGACATAAAAAGAAAATTCTGATGCATGGTGCAACATGGATGAACCTTGAAAACATTATGCTAATGAAGGGAGGCAGACACAAAGATCACACGTTATATGATTTTATCTGTATGAAGAGTCCAGAAGAGGCAAATCTATTAAGACAGAAAGGGGATTGGTGGTTGCTTAGGGCTAAAGAAAGTGGGAAGTGATAGTAAAAAAGTAAAGGATTTCTGTGTTGACAATATTCCAACAGTTGACTGCAGTAAACGTTACACATATCTTTGAATGCACCAAGCAGAGTTCAGTTTCATTGAGTTATAACTGACATACAGTAATACAGTATTGTGTAAGATAAGGTGTACTGCATGTACTTGACATACATATATAAAAAATGATTACCACAATAAGATTAGTTACCATCTATCAACTCATATGGTTATAAAAACAAAATTTTCTGCTAGTATGAATGGAAATTCTACAATCTACTCACTTAGCAACTTATGAATACATCATACAGTGGTGTTAACTATAGTCATCATGTTGTATTTACCGGTCCAGTACTCCTCTATCTTGTAATTGAAAGTGTATACCTTTGGTCACCTTCATTCAAGTACCACCCCACAACCCCTGCCTCTGATAACCACAAAGCTGATCTCCTTTTGTATGACTCGGTTTCTTATATTGTTTTTTTTTTATTCCACATGTAATTGAGGTCATACAATATGTGTCTTTCCCTGTCTGACTCATTTCATTCATCATAATGCCCTCAGAATCCATCCCTGTTGTCCAAATACAGAATTTCCTTCCATTTTTATGGCCGAATAAGATTCCATGGTATATACATACTACATTTTCATTATCCATTCCTTGCACGAAGAACACCCAGACTGTAAAAATTGAACTGTACATTTTAAAAGGGGGACATAGTCTCTCGTGGTTCGTCTCCCTCTTTGATTTCCCCCCCTTCATTTTTCCCTTCCTTCTCCTAATGTCCTCCATGTTATTCCTTATGTTCCACAAATAAGTGAAACCATATGATAATTGACTTTCTCTGCTTGACTTATTTCACATGATGGGTATTAAGGAGGGCACGTATTGCGTGGAGCACTGGTGTTATACACAAACAATGAATCATGGAGCATTACCTCAAAACCCAGTGATGTACTGTATGCTGACTAACATAACATAACAAACAAACAAACAAACAAACAAATAAATAAATAAATATGGGGAAATGTATGTTATATGAAGTTATAGCTCAGTAAAGTTGTTGTAGAAAGGTAGGAAGGGAAGAAGTGAGGGAGGAAGGAAGGAAGGGGAAAAAAACGGGATGGGAGGATAAAAAGAAACATGGTACTGTACGTACATACTGAGAAGAAAAATGGATCAAGGAAATCAAATTTTAGGAAATTCTTAATATTTTCCACGAAGGGATCTTGTGGGTTGTTGAGGGAATCAATGTTCACTCCAAATGATGTGCTGGTAATCACATCCATGCTGTAGGCCCCAAAGATGCTGAGTAGAGAAACAAAGGCATGGATAATTAAAATCAGCACCTCTTTACTATCCTTATCCAGCACATGCAGCAAGAAGTGCATGTAGATACCCATGCCCAGGCAAGACAAGGGCCACACTTTCAGAACCACCTGTTGCATCATCTGAAGAGTTTATATGCCATCACACTCACTCATGTGGTGTTCATGAGGTGCCAGTGATACAGCTGGCCTTGTGCTAGGGTGATGGGGACACTAGAGCAAATTAGACACATTTCTGAGCTCAAGGAGCTCAGTCATGGAGGGATAGAGACCCAAAGTGTGACAAATTACAGTAATGTCTTTTGCGTATAGGCAGTAAAAGGTGGCTAAGCACTGTGTCTGAGCAGGACCAAGGGTGGAATAATTAACCCTTTCTCAGGGAGTCAAGAAAGGTGAAACTGATCTGGATTTTCTCTCACCACAGTATCTATGCTCAGAGCTGATTCCTCTTCAGCACATGACAGAACACCAACACCCTGTTCTGTGCTGCCAGGAACACCATCCCTTCTTCTCTACACCTCTGCTAAGGCTCCTGAAAGACCCACTCTGTCTCAACTCCAGCGATCTGAGCTCGCTCTGAGGGCTCACTCATTTCTAGACAATGTAAGAACCTAGAACATTCCTCCTTAAAAAATATACATTAAATAAATCAATCCAAAATCGATTTAGGGGATGACATATGTGATCATATGCCACTAGTTTTCCCAGGAGAGTACCAACATATATCTCTTCATTTCATAAAATCAAAAAATATCTCAGTTTACACAAAAAATATGGCCACCCTACCCATCCTATGGGCAGGACCTTCTCTCTTTTGAGATTGAAAGAAGGACAAGCGGTCATAAAAGTTAATATTTAGTATTTTACTAATACCCTCAACAAAACTGGGAAGAGGTTTACGTCATTCCAAGTTCCACATGTTAATGTTCCTGCCCCACCCAGTGCCCACCAATATGTACCAAGTGCCTTCCCCTCCCACTATTCCATACCCTCTACACTCAAAGATTTGGTACAATTACGTTTCTTCTTTTCAACCACGTATTTTTATCTTCCAGAATATCCTAGGTGACAACTAAGCAGATAAATGAATCCTGCCTCGTGTACACAAAAGAAGACCCTTTCTTTTCTGGTGGCCCTGCCTTTTTAGGTGAGGTACCTCTTCTTGGATGACCTACCAGCATTGTGATACCACATGTTTCTTTGCTGGAGTAACTCAACAGTGGGGATTTGGCTCTGTGGCAGCAGCTAGAAAGTGTTGTGACAGAGTTGGAATCCCAGCAGCTGCACTCCTACTTACTCTTTCAAGGTGATGGACTTGCTTTTCTCTGTCTCCTTCCTCAGGTTCCTCACCAACACATCTCCATAGTGGCCAATGATGGAGAACATCTACACACAAAATATACCACCACCTGAAGTTAAATTGGAAAATGAAGTCCAAGAATGATGTGGCTTTCATAAGCATGTGGCAGTAAGGGACATTTAATAACAAACTTTATCATGTCTTTCCTAGGACATGAAGATAAAGACCATTTTTAGGAAGCCCAAATTTAGCATACTACCCTTTAAAGATGGAATATGATCTTATTTCCTACCAGCCCCCAGATATATTCCTTAACTTTCTAATTGAAAGTCCTCTTCTTTTCTTACCTCCTTGAGCTTTCCGCTAGTGAAGGTTGGAGACAGCAATGTTCGCATTCTCTTCCATTCTTCATCCTCAGACAAAGAAACTGAACTTTTCATAAATCCCACTGGACCAAAACACTAGAGTCAAAGAAAAACACAATTTGCCCTACATAAGTTTTGGAGGTCTTAAAGGTTGTGGAAAATTTGTTTAACAGGCAGAAATTATTCAACAAATATTTAGTGATTATCAACTTAATAGTAGGTCCGATGGTAGGTGAGCAACAGATATTTATCCCCAATGCCCAGCCTTCTGCAAGATTGAGGACATATCCAGCCACCTGATGTGCTTTCCAGCCTTTATAGTCCACCTCCTTTTCAACATAAATGTGGTATGGGAAAATTTGGCAGGGAAACTACTCCTCTGGGGGAATACAGAGGATTAACACCTAGTATATTCTCCTAAACTGTGCAGAGTAGTAGAATTGGATTGGTGGAAGATAGCCAGATAGCCTGGAAAACTGCATGTTGCCTCAGACCAGTTCTGCCTTTACATATATCCACAGCATGAGAAACTCGAAAAATTGATGTCTTGATATGGTGATTTTTTAAAAAAACATTATAGTTAACACTAAAAACATTAGGAATCTATTTGCTCTTGTGAAGAAATGGTACAGTAACATGGAAATCTCTTCCCTCTATATTTTTCCTAAAGGAAAAATATATACATAAGGAAATAATAAGGAAAAAGAGAGAAATAATTCTATTTCCCATCTTGGGATTGGCTTAGCAAGCCAACCAGTTTGAATATTTCTTCCATTTTCCAAAACTATATTTTGTTTTAAAATGGATATCTTCATGGCTAAGATTAACAACTCAGGCAACAATAGATGATGGTAAGGATGCTGAAAAATGGAAACTCTTGGTGGAAATGCAAACTGGTGCAGCCACTCTGGAAAACAGTATGGAAGTTCTTCAAAAACTTAAAAATAGAAATACCCTACAACCTAGCAATTGGACTACTAGGTATTTATCAGAAGGATACAAACATAGTGATTTGAAGGGGCACATGCACCCCAATGTTTATAGCAGCAATGTCCACAATTGCCAAAATACAGAAAGACTCCAGATGTCTATGACAGATGAATGGATAACGAAGACTTGGTATATATAAAGTCTTATATATAATATAAAATCTTAAATATATATGTATATAATATAATAATATTAAATAATTATTATATTGTATATTTATATTATATATAATATTTATATAATATAATATAAAATCTTAAAAAACACTATATCAAAAACTAATGATGTACTGTAGGGTGACTAACATAACATAATAAAATAAAATTAAATTAAAAAAAGAAACAAAACAGATGAACATAGGAGAAGGGAAGGAAAATAAAATAAGAGGGAAAAACAGAGGGAGGCAAACCCTAAGACACTCTTAACTATAGAGAACAAACAAAGTTGCTGGTGGGGAGGGAGGTAGGGGGATCGGGTAACTGGATGATGGGCATTAAGGAGGGCACTTAATGTAATGAGCGCTGGATGTTGTATGCAACTGATGAATGACTGAATTCTACCTCTGAAACTAGTAATACAATATATATCAATTAAATTGAATTTAAATTTTAAAAAGTTTTTAAGATTTTATTTATTTATTTGTCAGAGAGAGAGAGAGCAAAAGCAGGGGGAGCAGCAGGCAGAGGGAAAGGCAGGCTCCCCACTGAGCAAGGAGCCCAACGCACAACTGGATCCCAGGACTCCAGGATCATGATGTGAGCCAACGGCAGAAGCTCAACCGACTGAGCCACCCAGGTATCCACCCCAAAAAAATTTCAATTACAATAAAATGAAAATAAAAAATAAAATGGATATCTCCAACACAATTTCATGATAAAAACTCACAAACTAGGAAGAGAGGAAAAATTTCCTGACTTAATAATGAGCATCTAAAAACCTGACAGCTAACATCACCTCAGTGAGGAAAGACTGATGTTATAACACTAAGATGATGGAACAGACACTCCAGCCTCTGTTATCCCACAAAGAACAACAATTAGACAGCTATCCACAAACAAAAATAGGTCCAAGTGCTTAGGAGTCCATTTAAGAAGTTTCAACAACAGAATGGAGAAAACTCCTGAGAATAACTGTGCGAGAAAAATAAGGAAAATAACTTCATTTTGCCTGCATCACCCCATGACCCAGGCCAGCACTGCTCAGCACCAACAGGACACTCCGTGACTGAGACAGTTCCCCTTCCTGGGGAACAGCAGAAGGATGAGCAACCATTAGCCCTAGTCCTTCAGAACATGGCACAAATGACCTGTTCTGGTTTCAAACCTCCCAGAGACTGGCATGGCTGACATCTAGACACAGCTAGGAACAAAGAAGGGCAGGACTACCGGTATCAGTCAAGTGGCAGGAGTGACCATGTTTCTCTGTGTCCTGCTCTGCAGAAAAACCTAGCAGTCTTTGTTGCTGAGGAACTAAAAGCCAGCCGAGCACTGTGCACCCTCTAAGATTTTGCTGCTGATAGTCTCACAGGTTTTCACATTTGCAGACTCCAGCTGCCTCAGTCCTGCTGTGTCCCATCTGTACTCACTGGAGTTGTCTCAGCCAGTGCCACCACCAACACTGTGAGCCCCAGAATCTACACCACCAGCCAGTTTGGCCTCTGTAACTCAGCATATGGACAGCACAAGCCCAGGCCCCAGCAGCTTTCAGGTACCTGAGGCCAGGCCTGACTCCTGTCACTGGACTGCAGTGCCACATGAGACAACAGCTAAACCCTGAAGCTGTACACCTTCACATGGCCGGCCTGAACT